ACTCTACTTTATTAAATTTTTGACGTAAACTACATTAATTAATTAATAGAGACATATAAATATATGAAAAATGTATTTAAAAATTAATGGGGAAACAAATAAAAATATAATATTATTCGTTTGAAGAGTCTAAAGCTGCAACGGCATCGCCATATACAGAAAGTTTTAAGCGCAGGATAAGAGCATGCACACTCTTTCCCATTTCCAAGCAAAATAAAACCTATACATACACATTTATAATACTCATATACTCCTAGAGAGAGAGAGAGAGAAGAAGAAAAATGTTGGTTTTTTCAGAGAGATAATAATAAAAAGAAACCAAAGTTATTTATTTATTTTTTTTTGTTAAAAGCTTTTTGTCTCTCTCTCTCCATTTCTTCTTGTTCTTGTTTGCATCCGGAACCAAAGATAGAAACTGTGGTTTCATGATGGGACCTTTGGTTTCTCTTCTTCATTGAAGGGTCGAATTTAGTCTGAGAAAAGAAGAGTGGAGAGAGAGAAAGAGGAGAGGCAAGAGCCCCACAAGAGAGACATGCTTGTCTGTGTGTAGTCCCTTTTTGTATGTTCTTTAATCTCTCCCACTCTGTTTTTGTCATGTGTAAGGGTTTTTGTCCTTCGAATTTGGAGTTTTCTTTAACCAAAAAAAACCAGATTCCATGAAATGGCTTTGTCTTTAATTCTTTTGGTTTTTCCTGGATTTATCTTCTTGTAGCCTCTTTGCTCAGTAGAGCTCTTTTGTCTCTTCTTGTGTTAAAAAAAATAAAAATGAAGACTTTGTTAAGAAAATAATAACCTGAGTCTTGCCAAAGCCTAGTGTTGAGTGTGGGAGAGACCAACAGATCATTGAACAATCTCTTTGTATGATGGCTTCATTGTCTTGTGTTGAAGACAAGATGAAAACAAGTTGTTTGGTTAATGGAGGAGGAACAATAACAACAACAACAACATCTCAATCTACTCTGCTTGAAGAGATGAAGCTGTTGAAGGACCAGTCAGGTTTTCATCATCTTCTTTCTTCCTCAAGATTTTTACAAAAAAATTCCCTTTTTGACAATAAACTGAGATAACAAAAAGTTACATGCTTTATGCCAATGACATATTGAAATCTTGTTACTTTCCCCTGAAATTTGGTTTTAAACATATTCAGGAACAAGAAAGCCGGTAATAAACTCGGAGCTATGGCACGCTTGTGCAGGCCCTTTGGTGTGTCTCCCTCAAGTTGGGAGCTTAGTGTATTACTTCTCACAAGGTCATAGCGAGCAGGTAACTTTGTGTGTCTTAAAGAAAGAACAAACACATTGTACTTCTTTAGATCTTGTAAGCTCTTGGTTTAAAGTTTTGATTATTCTGTTTACTTTTTGACTTAGGTTGCTGTTTCAACCAGAAGGTCAGCAACAACACAAGTTCCTAACTACCCAAACCTTCCATCTCAGTTGATGTGTCAAGTCCATAATGTTACTCTTCATGTAAGCCAATCTTTCTCATTTGCTTCATATCCAAACATATTGCAACCAGTTTTGATTTTTGTTGGCAATTGTTTTGTTTCATTTGATAGGCTGACAAAGACAGTGACGAAATCTATGCTCAGATGAGTCTTCAACCAGTTCACTCTGTAAGTTTTCGATTCTAGCCACTTCCTTTTATTTCATTTAATATTTTGAAGTCGAATAAGTTTGAATGGTTTGTGCATCAGGAGAGAGATGTGTTCCCTGTACCAGATTTTGGGATGTTAAGAGGAGGAAGTAAGCACCCGACTGAGTTTTTCTGCAAAACACTTACTGCAAGTGACACAAGCACACATGGAGGTTTCTCCGTGCCACGTAGAGCTGCAGAGAAGCTATTTCCACCATTAGTGAGTATCTCTTTTCCTCAGGAATAAACATATGTTCCTTTTGCTTTAACTGCTGCTAATGTTATGTTTAATACATTATAGGACTACACAGCACAGCCGCCAACGCAAGAGCTTGTAGTTCGAGATCTCCATGAGAATACTTGGACATTTCGCCATATCTATCGAGGTAAAACCACTAGATTTGTCTCTTTCTCTGCTTAGATTGAGTTGGTATTGAGCTCAGTTCCTGCTTACATTTTCAGGGCAACCAAAGAGACATCTCCTAACAACCGGATGGAGTTTGTTTGTTGGATCAAAAAGATTGAGAGCTGGGGATTCTGTTTTGTTCATCAGGTTAAAAATCTTGAAAAGCCGGTTTATGAATCTACTGTTGCCTACTGAGTCATATTGGTTCTGACTGTTGTTCGCTTTTTGAAAATGTGCCAAAAGGGATGAGAAGTCGCAACTGATGGTCGGTGTGAGGCGTGCCAATCGCCAACAAACAGCACTTCCTTCATCAGTTCTCTCAGCGGATAGTATGCACATCGGTGTTCTTGCTGCTGCTGCGCACGCAACTGCAAACCGCACTCCTTTCTTGATATTCTATAATCCAAGGTTAGCTCAAAAGCTTCTTCAATTGTCAATGATATAAAATATCTTCCTAGTTCTAACGTAACTCATGGTGTTTGTTCTCAGAGCTTGTCCAGCAGAGTTTGTGATTCCTCTAGCTAAGTACCGTAAGGCTATATGTGGGTCTCAGCTCTCAGTTGGTATGAGGTTTGGAATGATGTTTGAAACTGAAGATTCCGGGAAACGAAGGTAAGTTATCTGTAAACTGCAATCTTTCTGTTTTTACTGATCAAATTTGGTTGTTCACTTATCCATTTCTTGGTTGTGTATTTAGGTACATGGGAACCATTGTTGGAATCAGTGATCTGGATCCGTTGAGATGGCCTGGTTCTAAGTGGCGTAACCTTCAAGTGGAATGGGATGAGCCTGGATGTAATGATAAGCCTACTCGGGTCAGTCCATGGGATATCGAAACACCTGAAAGTCTCTTCATTTTTCCTTCTCTGACCTCAGGACTCAAACGTCAGCTCCATCCATCTTACTTTGGTGAGTAAAAGAAAGTGTGCCTTGTTGTGAACTTGACATGAGATTTGTAGCCTTAAACTTTTGTTATGAAATATGCAGCGGGCGAAACCGAATGGGGTAGCTTGATAAAACGGCCACTTATACGTGTTCCTGATTCCGCGAACGGGATTATGCCTTACGCATCATTCCCTAATATGGCTTCGGAGCAGCTTATGAAAATGATGATGAGGCCTCACAACAACCAAAATGTACCATCTTTCATGTCTGAGATGCAGCAGAATGTTGTAATGGGCCATGGAGGTTTGCTAGGAGATATGAAGATGCAGCAACCCATGATGATGAGCCGGAAATCTGAGATGTTGCAGCCACAAAACAAGCTAACAGTGAACCCATCTGCTTCTAATTCGAGTGGCCAAGAACAGAATCTGTCACAGAGTATGAGTGCTCCTGCAAAGCCTGACAACTCCACACTCTCTGGCTGCAGCTCTGGTAGAGTCGAGCATGGACTTGAGCAGTCAATGGAACAGGCAAGCCAGGCGACTACATCCACAGTGTGTAATGAGGAAAAGGTTAATCAGCTACTTCAGAAACCGGGTGCTTCGTCTCCTGTACAAGCTGATCCATGTCTTGACATTAGTCAACAGATTTACCCACCACAGTCTGATCCAATAAATGGATTCTCTTTCCTGGAAACTGATGAGCTGACATCACAAGTCTCTTCCTTCCAGTCTCTTGCCGGATCATACAAGCAACCATTTATGCTATCCTCCCAGGATTCTTCAGCTGTTGGGTTACCGGATTCAACAAATTCACCAGTGTTTCACGATGTGTGGGACAATCAGTTGAACGGTCTCAAGTTTGACCAGTTCAGTCCCTTGATGCAGCAGGACCTTTATGCTAGTCAGAATATTTGTATGAGTAATAGCACAACCAGCAACATTCTAGATCCTCCACTCTCAAACACAGTTCTTGATGACTTCTGTGCCATCAAGGAAACTGATTTCCAGAACCACCCTTCTAGTTGTTTGGTTGGAAACAACAACACTAGCTTTGCTCAAGATGTCCAGTCACAGATCACATCAGCTAGCTTTGCAGACTCACAGGCCTTCTCTCGTCAAGATTTTCCAGATAATTCCGGAGGGACTGGTACATCTTCAAGCAATGTTGATTTTGATGATAGTAGTCTGCTGCAAAATAGTAAAGGCTCATCATGGAAGAAAATTGCAACACCCCGCGTCCGAACCTACACGAAGGTAAAAAGATTATCTCTCTCATTCCTTCCACAAAGAGTACATTTTCTGGTGTCACAATCTGACATTAAACTTTGCGGTTTGGGGAATGTTTTGACTTGGCAGGTTCAAAAAACCGGGTCAGTCGGGAGGTCAATTGATGTCACAAGCTTCAAAGACTACAAGGAGCTAAAATCTGCAATCGAGTGCATGTTTGGATTGGAAGGACTACTCACTCAGCCACAAAGCTCGGGTTGGAAGCTTGTATATGTTGATTATGAGAGTGATGTTCTACTTGTAGGAGATGATCCATGGGAGTAAGTCTCTCTCTCACTGTCTTGTGAATACATTAACTTCACCTCACTTTCTGTCTTACAATAGTTTCCTTACATAAACTGGTGCAGAGAGTTTGTGGGATGCGTTAGGTGCATAAGGATACTGTCGCCAACAGAGGTCCAGCAGATGAGTGAAGAAGGGATGAAGCTTTTGAACAGCGCAGGCATTAACGATCTTAAAACTTCTGTTTCGTAAATGTAGCAATATAAAAATGATCTCCTGCTGATTTGTAAGAAAAAAAAGAGAGTAAGAAACTGTTCTTCTCTCGAACTGGTAGAGGAGAAACCATCTTGTTGTAGCATTTGATTTGTTGTTCCCATTTGAGACCTGAAACTAAACTATATTCATATATGTAGTAGAGTGATGAATGAATCAGTAGTTGAGACAGTATGAGATCAAAAGGCAAACAATTATTCCCTACATTGTTGTCTTTAGATTAAGGGTCATAGCGTGGGAAGATTTTACTCTATTTTCTGCACAATGATAAAGATAAAGTGTCGAAAACCATCTCAAGAAAGCTAGGGATATAGTATAATTACTACTGTGTTGGTGAGCCAAAAGATACTCGCTGATTAATTCTACATTTGTGGCGTAAAACAAAGATATGATTTCAAATGTATATAAAACTTATATAGCAGCAAAATCAGACAAGAGAAAAGAGAAAAATTGCTCTGCTGCTAAACAACAAGCTCTCACACCAAGAGGCAAAGAGCATGTGTGGTATGCTAATTCTGCATCAGTCTCTGTCAAATCTCATTCTTTTTGCATTCTGCATCTCAGAAGTGTTGATATTACCATTGTTTAGATTCCTCGGCTGGTAAGGTGTAGTAACATCGTGCTGGTACAAACAATTGGCTCCATGGCGACAACCCCTTGTGCTGTTGAAATACATGCAAGGCTTCATTATCTTGGGTTTTGAGTCCCTTGGCCTCTGGTTATTATTATTGCTATTTACCATCTCCGGGTTAGGTCCTCCAGGTTGGAGGTTGTAACGATAACCAAGATGTTGTTGAACTGGCGGCATTTCTTGTCTATCCCCACCATGTTGCTGAATCAGGTTCTTGTAATAACTAGCATCTCTTGCTGGAGGTGCTCCATAGTTTGGTTGGTCTAGAGGAGTATACGCCATGGGAGGAATATGGGTTATGGATGGCTGAGGGTAAAATTGTCCATTTGAGTAAGTAGGTGCTGTAGTTACTACTCCATTGGCTTCATGTGTTGAAGATGGGTAGAGGCTACCTGCGTTGGAGGAAACTGAACCTGCACTGCCAGAATTTGCAACAAGATTCTCGACCAACTTAGGGTTGCTTAGGATTTTAATAAGCAGATCTTGGTCGATCATGCTGCTGCCTTGTTCTTTGCTGTTTGAGATTGCAGATAATGCAGCCATTATCTCTGGCCCTGCAGGGAGGATTGAAGAAGTTGATGTATTCTCATCCGTTATTGATGGATCTGTTCCCACATCCACGCCAGATTGGGTTGGGAAATCAGATGCTGAATCCATCGCTATGTCATCGTCTTCTACAGGTAGGATGGGTATGACAATGGTTTGCTGATCATCATGATGGTTCTCAACATCAGCTGGAACCGAAGGGCTGCAGATTTGACTTTAAGAAAAGTCCCAAGTCAAAAAAAGAAGTAAAAGGGATGCAAATGTGTGTTGGAAGAATATGTAGGGGTTAGATACGGACTTTGGAGGAATAGATGATGCGCCAGGATAAAATGCTTCAAGAACTCTCAATTCCCTCTGATTTTGGACCTCCACTTCTTTGCTTTCGTCCCCTGCAACCACTCTCCATTCCTCATCTAGCAGAATCTGCAAAAGCACATGTTATCTACAGTATTAGCGGCACTATCGTAAGGGTTGAATATATGAACATCCTCAACTAGATTAACAAGAAATACAATCCTACATGGGTAACCCAACCAAGAGCACCTTACCACTATATTTACCAAATGTGACCTTATCCAACTTAAAGGACTAGAGGAAAATATATGTGTATATATATATATACATATGTAAACTATAACTGTAAATATCTTGGCTTTTTGGGGGAAATGGAATTAGTACTTTCAAAATTTGATGATTCTAACTAAAAAAAGGCTTAAGGAGTGCGATCTGAGAGCTTACCCGGACAGAGGATTTCCACTTTATTACTGGGATGTCTGATAACTTAATCTGGGACTGATTCGCGGAAAGAGGTCCACCAAAACCAGGTGGTAGATTATCATCACTTGGATGGGAAGCCAACGGTGACTTTGCTTGCAGGTGATCTTGAGACTCTGATCCAACTTGTGAAGGTGAATCCTCTGATATGAATAGCCGTACCTGTTCAACATGAGAAACACATTATCAATTGACATGTAAACAAAATCCTTAGAGAATCTTGATCATATCACGCTAGTTAGAGTCAGGAATCACTACACACAAAATATGAATATACAGCAAACATGAATAATTACCATTGGACCAGTTATCTCAAATATACAGTCCAAAAAAAGTCAACAAGGGCTTGTAAGCATTAACGTATTACAAGAATCCTGGTTGTTTGAAAAAGCTTAAGTAAAGAAAGAAACAAACAATGTGGTAACGTATAAGACAATGACCTCATAATCCAGAACAGCCTAACTAATCAACTACTTTTCAAACCATGTATACATGAAAAAAATGAAAATGGTGACGTTCCTCTCTGTAGCATCCTCCTACTCCTCTCCCTTCCCAGTAAGCAACAGAGCTGGACAACGAATCGTCTCCAAGCTAACTTACCAAAGTATTTTCCATCAGCACAAAGTATGCAAATGACAGTATTCAAGAGTGTGTGAATGTATAACGATTCACCATGCCGAATACTTTGTTGAAGATAGCCAAAACCCTTTGGACATCACTCATTATTCTTGGTTCGTTCTCTTTCATACCTCACCACTGAACTACTTGACTACATTGATCTCGTGAGTATGCCATGATGGAACTGGATGTATCTCATGATTAGCCCCTTATCCAAAGAACCAAAAATGGGCAAACAATTTAGACTATGATGCAAATATAGATTAAAAGAACAAAAATGCAGATTTTATATGTATGTCCTCCAAGTCCAAGAGCTCGAGACAAGTGATTGGCAGGTTTGTCACCATGGTTCCACACGGATTCCCAATAACTAGTAAAGTTGCAAGTAAAATATAAATTCAAAAACAGAGTATAATACACACAGTAAACAATCAAAGTCTCAAATCATGAATGACTAAGCAAGATAACTCAATATATCAAACAACTAAAGGGACATAAGAGAATACAAAAACCAGTTGAATCATCATATCACAGAGAAAAACTAATCAAATCACAGAGAGCATTTTCCTCAAGTTTCTAGTTATCGTATCATTTGCAATCAGCCAATTTAAGGAAGATATAGAAAGGGAACTAAAACAAACATCAATCATATTCCAGGAAAGCTTCAATACAATGAACAGCAATGCCATTTTACCTGACAAAGTTTAAAATCTGGTGGCCAAGATACCCTTTTGTGCAATGCCCTCATAGTTACAGAAACTCTCACTTCTTTTTTCAATCTAAAAATCAATTCTTTTTGATTCAGGAAGGTCCAATTACCCTTTTAAAATCTCGTGAATTTACTCTTAGATTGAAGCACCAATCATCATCATCATTATTCTCATCCCAAGTTATCAAAAAACCCTAACTTTTTTCAGGAAAAGAGGAAGAATTTAAGAAGAGAAGATGATGAATCCCAGAGAGGAGAAGAAACATCTGCAAGCTAAAATCCGTCGAGAGAGAGAGTTGAGAGATGGAAGCGATTGTGAAGCCCTAGATCCTCTGGGCTCTTCTTCTTATGGTCACCATCGTCATTTTATCTGTCCTCAGATTTTTTCTTTCCTCCGCCTTTATACACGTGTCTTCGCAGCCGTACCCCCTCAAAGTTTTCCAATTTTTTCCAGATAATCCACTACTTTAGTATATTTACAAAACGACCCCTATGGAAAGCTTGATTTTTGTTTTGGAACAAAGTCAATAGCAGCCAGTTTCGTTGACTCTTAGTTATCATCCGACAATCCCACGAACTTGTTTTTTATGTTTGCCAACTAATTGCTTTTTATTACGTCAAATTTGTATTGAAGTGTAGACTAATTGTTAAGGGTTCGTATAAATTAGGAGATAATGATAATTAGAGTATTATCACTTAGGTTTTGCCATTTAGATGGTTTTTGGTTTGAAGTTATAAAATAGTCCATCGTTTTAACTGAAAAATCATGTTCTTTTTGTGTTAAGAATTGTACACCACAAAGGAGAATTTTTTTGGGAGGAAAGTGAAACAATAACCAAGAAGATATTATTACACGACTTTTAAAATTGAAGTCATAATCCATTGTTCACGACAAGCTTCATTTTCAGTTGAGGAGGTTATGTCCGAAAAAACCAACACCAAACCAAATCAAATAAAATCCTTTAGCCACAAAAATCAAACAATTTTTTTTTATAAAGAAAGAAGAAAAAAACGATTCTATACAAAGAGACTATCCTCCACTCTTCGTTCTTCCTCTGCACTTCTGTCACTTTTGGTCGTTTGAAACTAGAGTTAAGGATTGTTGTCCTGAAAAAACATACCAATAATCGAATTTTTGCGAAACACCGAAAGTCTTCTAAGCTTTTTGTCTTCTCCGGTTTCTGTCACACTCGGGTCAGCTTTCACCTCTGCCATTTTCTGTCTGTAAAAAAAAAAAGCAAAACCAAAATCAAACATTGTTCAGTTTTTTTTTTTTAAAAGGCATCTAAATGCGATGAGTGCGATTGCAGAGAAAACTTAGGAGGCGATTGTTTTACCCTTTGTTCCCGGTTGTGCTTGAGACGCAGACCGTTGGATTCTAGGAGAAACTTGTTTCCCATTGGTAACACCAGGCAACGAATGTCTCTTCTTGGCCGAAACAACATCTCTTTCTTGAAGATCAGGGCTTGATCTTGGTGAGTTATGTTCTTGAACCTTGGCTTTCGCCGACTGTGTTGGCTGCATGAACCGAGGAAGAGAGTTCTTGCCTCCGCTGCTTTCTCTTGCTTCTTGATCATACCCAAAAGAATTTCTTCTCACGCTTTTCTGTTCTTTCCCTTCTTCTTGTTCTGTAGCCTCACCACTACCAATTTCCTGTTTCGGGCTTGATGTTATTTTCTTGCTAACTTTCCTCTTTTGGCTCGAACCACTCTTTTCGGATTTTCCCTTTCTTGCTTTGACTGAAGAAGATGCTTGGCTTGCCGGCGTTGCCTGAGATTCAGTGATTGTCATCGGAGTTAAAGCTCCCTCAGATAACGTGGAAGCTTGAGGCCCTGATTCATCTTCAGCCCGTCTCTTTTTGGAATCTGGTGTACTAACAACCGATTCATGCTGTGTCACTGAGATTTCAACTTCGTCCTTAGCATTCTCAACTTTCTCCTTAGGGTCCTCTAAAATACCCAATGACGTTGCGTCTTTAACATCAATTTCTATCAACTCTGCTTGGTCTGTTTTAAAACTGTCATCCTCTAAAAGCTTAGCTTCTACCCTGGGCTCTGCACCTTCAGCGTCTGACTTCTTCTCAAGTGAGTCAAGAGAAGAAGTTACAGAGAGTTCGGTGCCACACTCGGATCCACTGAGCTCAGCTGGAGTAACATCTTCCAGAGAGTGATCCTTTTTAGTGTTTGTAGTGTGTGAATCTATATCTGTTTTGCCTTCTTCACCCGAAACACCATCTTTAGGAGACAGCGTCATTGCTTTGTTTGAACCAGTAGATGAAGTTAGTTCCTCAAACTTCGACTGTGCGGCAATGAAAGAAGGGTTGCTAACCTTACGCTTCAAAGAATGTTTAAGCTGTCCATCCACATATTCAGGCTCTTCGAGCAAAGAATCTGGTTCCTTAGCAGCAAGTGGCTGAGACTGGATTGAGTCATAATAAACCTCCGCTGATGCTTCTGGTGAATCATATTGGCTCATTTTTTCTGTTTCAGATAGCTCCACATGCTGACCTGCTAGCTTACTTGCTTCATAGCTTGACAAATCAGCTTCCGTTTTGGTCTCTACCGTTGAGTCTGAGTTCACAAAGTCAACTTGAGGTGATACTTTAACATTCTGTGTTTCTTCCAACTGTTGCTCTTCCGTTGTCAAATCTGCTTTCGAAGTCTTCTCAGGTTTTGGAACAGACATCCACCTCTCCAACCAGTTCCAAGCAGAACTAGGTTTTGTTGGATCACATTTAATGCTGATTGGTTTTGTCTTGGGAGTTGACTCCATTAGCTATAAACCAATATGCAACATAAAATGAGTATAACAGAGAATTGAGTTTAACTATCATAATATATACCTTGAATCAGCCAGAATGCACTAGAACTAAGTTTAAAAACATACATGCTTAGCAAACTTGTTTTCGAGAAGTTTTTGTGCAGCTGCATTTCCTTCCGCCTTATCCTGAAATAATAAACAATATCGGTCCACAGATTATATAGGGAAAACAAAATGATACTGTAACATAATTCAGCCATCTCAAAACCTTACCGAGATTGCTGAAACACGGCTAACATCTTTTGTGGAATGACGAGCACGAACCATCGCCTGCATTTTGACAATAGCTTGGACACAACGCAGTGATCCCATGGCCTGGCTCCTAACCAGGTGGCCACGAACTGCAGCTTGAAGTTTAATAACTTTCTTGCGCCTCAGAAGCTCTCTTCGCGCCTGCAGTTTAACAACACTCCAGTAAGAATAGTTTTCAAGACAGATCCTCAGCAACAGGTTGGGGAAATGTTAAGATCTTTAACATGTCCACAGAGTTAGGGAAAGCTTCTTCACATCCTTAATAATATTACTATGTAAGAATAGACAGAAGAACATACCAAGAATCCACGAATAGCAGCTTGGATGACCACGACAACAGACTCATCCAGCATCTCATCAACATTTTCATCACTTTCTTTACTGATAATAATCACATCATCGGTTTCAGATTCTTCCGGCTCAACCTTACTAGCAATTTCAACCTCAGAAGTAACATCTTTCTCTATCTTAGCTGCATCAGCAGCAATTGGTCCTTGCAATTCAGTTCCAATCAAATCATCTTCCTCAGTTTCAGTCCCTTTTGATTCCACAATAACAGGCGACACCTCAGTTCTGTGATCAATCTGTTCCTCCACTGACGACAGCTCAGTCTTCTCCTCAACGAACTGTGTTTTTTTCTCATCCACAGGTTCAGCCACATAGGTAACAGCAGGTAATTGACTCTTCTTCTCATCAACAGAGAATGACTGCTGCTGCTTTTCAGAAACATTGTTATTATCAGGAGACGGAGATTTAAGGAGAGCAGATTCAAGAGTTTCTCTAGTCCTAGAAGCAGGAGCAGTTTCAGAGACTACACTAGTAATCAACCCTCGCTGTTTCCCAGATTTCTTCCTGAAACTCCATCCACGCTTATCACCAGAGCTCTTGTTCTACATCCAAAACAAAATTGATTCCACACAATCTTAAAACCATTAAACCTCACAGATCTCGTAGACAGGCTAAACAAAAAAAAAAAAAAAAACGAAAACCCTAAGTAATACCAAACAAACGAGTAATGAAGACCAAACCCTAAGATTCAGACAAAATTAGAAACTAAGTAATGCCAAAATCCGACCAGACACTGACGGAAGCAAAACAAAAGATCTACGAAATTGGATTTAAGGACAAAATCCGAAACAGAGATTGGAGATCGCGAGAACTATAAGCAATTTAAAAAAAAAAAAAAAAGAGAAAATGTCAAAACCTCGACGGCGGTGGAGTTAGGATCGGAGGCATCATCACCGCCGGAGCAAGAGATGAGACGGAGACAAGAAGAAGCTGGAGATCTTCCCATGACTGGTGGCTCTTAGAAGAAGCAGACCGTTTTATCTTCTGGTGTGTTGGATCAGTAGTAAATAAAACAAACACAGAGAGACTAGACTAGTAGTGGTGTCGTTGGAAATTGGAGCAAAAGGCAAAGCCGGAACTCAAAGGCGAAGCATTAAAATACGGTTAAGTCTCGGATTTGGAATCCGCCAGTCTTTCTCTTCTGTCCGTTGAGGTGCCCAAATTAAAGCGATATAACGCTGTCACTGTCAGATCTCTCTCGTGAGTCACATTTTCTTATTCATTCTTCTTCTTTCTTTTTTTACTAACCGATGAGTATTAATTAATTACTATATAGCTGAAGTAACAAATTCAGATAGATGTTTTTGAATTCATTCATATGGGTTAAAAAAAAAAATCATCTATCAGTAACAAAGAAAAAAAGATGTTAAACTTATGATGTTACAACAACGATGATACAAACTACAAGTTATTAACACAAATAAATTGTTTGTATTTTCTGTTTTTTTTTTAAGGGAATTATTATACTAAAAATAACGGTTGGATTGATTGAAATAATGAATTAGTGGGGGATTATTCAATTATGGCAAGTCGATAATGTTGGTTCACCTATAAAAATAATAAGACGCATGTGACTGTCATGTGCTTCATGTCTTTTTTTTCTTTCTTTTCTCTCTGATCGCTTTGTGAGGTTATATTAACTTTTTTCTTTATATGTGGGGTTGATTAACTTTATTTATTAAATTGTCTCAAACTCAAACACATTTGGCTAAAGACGTAAATATGTTTCATAAATCTATTTTGGCAGTAAGCCATAGTGACAAGGATATGTGTTGTAAGTAAAAAGTATCAAGACTTAAAAAAAACTGGTTGTTTCTTTAAGCTTTTCTTTCCATTAAGAGCATTTCCAACCCATTTCTATATTTGTTTCTAAACTCTATTTTAGAGCCAAATTTGCTCCAACCACCTCTATTCTCACCTCTAAAATAGAGATTTCTATTTTTTTCTCTATATATAGAGGTGAGAATAGAGAATCTCTATTTTTTTCTCTATAAATAGAGTTAAACTTTTTAGAGGAAAAAATAGAGGAACACATTGGAGTAAAAATAGAGAAAACTTATCTCTATTATAGAAATAAAGCTAAAAATAGGGAAATACATTGGAGATGGTCTAAGTCATCTTATAGACTACAATATGTGTATATTCGATTGAAAGCAAAATAACGAGAAATATGCAAATTGGTTTCAGATGGGCTTTGTAGGCCCATAGTGGGCCAGCCCAATAGAGAAAAAGAAACTTCGTGGTGTATTGAAAAAAGGAAATGGTGTAGGGTATCTCTCTGTTACCAAACTGATCAAAGTCCTAACCACTACTCATTGTAATATTGACAATGCCTTTTTTTCTGTACAATTTGCCACATCCACAGTACTGCCAGCTAGGCGGCATATGTATTTGTTTTGTTTTGTAGCATTACGACAAAAGTTACAAAGGGAAAGTTGTTGTGGACCTCTCTGCGAAATTGATAGTGAATGATTTTATTCTAACGTTGTGATAGAGTCGTATATATAGCCACTGCCTTATCTGTTCTTAGGTTATCTTTCATTTTTATATTTGTTATACAAAAATGTTTAACTCAGTTCCTTAAGTCTCATATAACACTTTGCTTTTTGGAGGCTTATTCTTTTGTAAAGTCCATGTTATTCTTTTGAATACAGGTTTAGACTGTTAGTCTAGATCTGTATGACTGTAACCGTTATATTTTTTGGAGGTTTTTCTCAAATTTGGTGTAACTTGTTGTTCTTTTTATGATGAAAGATAATCTGTTGACCAAAAAAAAAAAAAAGATAATCTGTTGACCAAAAAAAAAAAAAAAAAACTCTTCGCTAATACATACTATAATTTAAACAGTATTAAAATATTAAGTTTCCACTGCCTGATCTGTGCGAATTTGTTTTCTTTGATCGTACTGTAGTATCTTTCATAAGTTAATGCGAATACTAAAATGCAGACGAAGACGCGTACAAAGGAAGCCGTAGTCGGCAGCTAAGAGGTAAAGGTGGTTTATTAATTAATTCATGGAAATGTTAGAAAGTTTGAGTGATAAACTCAGAGATTGCGTGTGAAGTTGAAACAAACCTTTCACGACCTTAACCAAAAATATGATCAATCTTAAGACCAAACCTAAAGTATGGTTATATTAATATTAAAAAATCAGCAGAAGCATCACTAATTGCTTCCATCTTAAGTCAAATTTCTCAATCGTGCAAACTCATTTACTATGTTTGTCGCACTCACCGACAGAAATAATCTTGCCATTTTCACGGCATCAAAAATTTCAAAACTCTATTTTAATCATTAATAATTCAGTAAATAACAAATTATAGGAGCGAATTATATGAATTATATGCATAAAACATAATAATTACAAAAAGACACATGCTTTAGACAAAAAGCAGCAAAACACATGCTTCATGTCATCGCAAATCAGTTAAGGACAAAACCGTATCAGTTTCTTTCTTTTCCTGAGAAACTTTGAATTCTGAATATCGAAAATGTTCTCTCTTAGAAATAAATCAGTCGATGTGGTTTACATTAAAATACAGAGGCCGATAAAAATTCTCCAGGGAATTATGCTTAAAACAAATGTTCAATAGAAAAAAATAAAAGTGATTTTTAGCCTCTCATTGTGTGAAGAAAAAAACAAAAACTGTTAAAAAGAAACCACATCGAGGTTTAGAGTCAGAGTCGTTTTAAAACTTACGTGGCCTTCCTCTTCTTCCACCGGTCTTCACCGGCGGAGCCTTTCCGTTACTGGTGCGGCCGCCGCGTCCACGTGCTCCACGACCACGTCCTCTCCCACGAGCGCTCTGTTTCTTGCCATTGGCCTCTTCTCCATCTTCACTGTAGTCACTGTCTGCGTCACTACCTTGAACTTCCTTCTCCTTGTCGCTGTTATCTTCATCACTGTCTTGTTCAGAATCAGAAGCTTTTGATGTTTTCCTCTTTTTAGAAGCACCTCTTTTGGCAGCTTGTTGCTTTGGTGCCAAAGTTTCTTCCTTGACTTCTTCTACACTCTCTGCCCAAAACAATCAATTACATCAAGAAATGTTTAAACTCTGTAGGGGATTAATATTATTGTGATTATACCTTCTAATGATCCTTTCCCATCGTAAATCTCGAGCTGCAGATATATTAAACAGCGTAAGGAAACAGATGAGGAAATACCAAACCTTGAAGAAACATCATCTTGAACTTTTTATTGAGGGCTCAAATAAAAAGAACTGACTCTTGCTTTTGTTACCTGCTCAAGCCGATCAGCGATATCTGTTCTGTCGACTATGACCATTGAATGGCAAAAACCGCATGCCACACTACAGAAAAACATACACAATGAATTTAGAAAAACTTCCAATTTATCTCTGAAGCAAACACTTGAGAACTCACCCCATTACATGCATTCCCTCGAGCATATCAACCTTTTTTGGCGCTGCAGAGGATCTGAAACGAGAAAGAAATAGGATTTATAATGATAGTCGTATGTGGTTTTTAAACTAAAAGTTAGTTATGGTGTGGCATACTTTTGACCATTGGGGCCATAACCAAGTTCTCCATACTGAGCATGACCCCAACTTATGCAAGAACTATCGGCACCAACAAAGTGATGCATGCTTCCTGAATCCATCCAACGCAAGTTCCAACCACTGTGTGAGGAAAGAAAAATGTTACATTAATCATCAAATCAAAAGTAATATATCAATCCGTGGAATCTGATTTAGACAAACCTTAAATCCATCATTGGTTTAGGGTACATCCAATCATCACCATTGTTCTTTATCTTTCCCCACATATATAACTGTCCTCCACCTGAAAATCCAAACAAGTTAAATTTAATTTTTAATGTAGGACCAGAAGACTAACACAAGAGGCAAAAAGACAGTTCAGGTTAAAGTTATTTGCCAGCGGTACACGCGGAGTTTGCAGAGCCAGCGGAAACAATGGCATTAGGAGGCAAAACATTATTCCTTTGAAACACATCAATACGGCGAGGAGCCCACTCATCCTTCTGCTCCCTATGTCCAAGCCTGAAATTGGTAATCAAACATCTCATGAGGAGGAGGAAGTTAATCTCCATCTACAAAGCTTAAACATGAGCTAATACCAACCTTCCATATCCACCATAGCCCCACCTGTGATATGTTTGAAAAAATATAAAAATTAGATGCATCAGACATAACACACATAGAAGGACCAGATGTTCAAAGTAACCAACTTTTTGAACAGATAAGTTACTTACGTGTAAACAAATCCATTCTTATCTACGGCCACTGATTAAGAGAAATGTTAATTATCAGAATGAGTAATTAGCTCCCTTGAAAGGTAAAGATTTAGGATAGAGAGAGAAAGAAATATGGTTTCTACCAGTATGATTTGTTCCACATGCAACTTTGACAATGGTTTCCCCTGCAAGAGAGGCGATGGCTTTGGGTCGTGGCTGAGCTTCGTAGGCGAGTTTAACTGAACTATCCTTCATATTGAACTGAAATGATACACAAACAATGTAACCTGGTTTAAAGTAAATGATGGAGACATGTTTACCTAATCTATTCATCAAAAGCATTTCAGGGAGACTAAAGTAACTAAATGATTCATAGCAAAATTTTCATAACATTTCAAGAAACAAGGGCTCAAAAACTTGTTTGGAAGTTTCAAATAATCATAAACAATTCTCGGTTGAAACACCTCCAATCATGATAATAAGCTACACGTCAGAAACAAGAGTTGAAATTGCATTAGTTGCACATCTAAAGTACACAGATAACTAAGTTACCTCATTATCAGTTCCATGACCAAGTTGACCATACTGTGGGAGACCGGCAGTCCTATAAACAAACAAACACTCTGAAACTGAGCAAGAAGTCTTACTAAAATGAGACCCGTTAAAGGCGAAAGAAAACCCAAAATAACAGACTAGACCAAAGTAAGAAACCATACAGTATAGAGGCTCCTTCAGTAGATGATAACCACACTGTAAAGTCAGCCCCACAGGCAACGTTTGTGACCTCATCAGACACAACACAGGGAAGAGGCGTCGATTCAACTTCTACAGAAACAAACCCTGTAATTTACAAATTCCATACCATTAGAACGGTAAGACACAAGCAGAAGTATGCAAAGCGTTTCATACCGTTTTTGGCTGAACCCGAACCCAACTGCCCATACTTATTCCAGCCAAAAGCTAGAGACAGTCCATCATCACTAACCACTACCGTGTGGCTCCTCCCTGCTGCCGCTTTCACAATTTTGTGCCTTCAATAAAGAAAAAAGAAAAAAAAAAAGGCTCAATTCAAAGCTTTAGCAGCCATGTAAATGTTCAAACAAAGAGTTAGAATCAATCTCTCCACCAAACTCACTTAGAGAGTCCTGACACAACTGTTGGCCTATCACGTTGGATCATATCTCCATGACCTAATTGACCTTTCTGAACAAACATCAAAAAAATTCCCACAAACCAAAATCATTCACATTTTCATTTCAGAGAAGAAGACAAATAAAAAGTAATGGGAATCAGAACATACCTCATTGCGTCCCCAGGTGTAACAACGACCTTCAACGTCCAATGCCACACAATGAAACGAAGCTATAAAAGATAAACAGTATCAATTCCTCCATTATCAAAGATGAGAGAAAACAAACACTCAGGCCTCAAGAGATTGGAGAGTTACCGCAACCAGAGGCGACGAATCGAATGTTAACTCCGACGAGTGGCCTTAAACGAGTAGGAGAGACCAAGTTACCTTCCATGGCACCTTTGCGTTTTCCAATGATATCCCAAGCCGTAGCACCACAGAACAAAAGCTCACCTCCCTTCTCCTCAGAGCTCTCATCTTTCTTCTCCGACGAATTCATCGCTGCCGCCATAACTTCTCCGACCAAAAATTTCAAATTTTCAAAATTCCAAAAGCAGATCCAAAGACGATTATAGTACGCGGCGAATCGGGTTGAAGATAGAAAGTGGCGGGAAAACAACGGCTAGTTAGAGTGATTGAGCAGATCGGAAAGCGACGACAAAGATTGAAGAAAAAAATTGGAGACCAAATTCAGAAAACCCTAAACACAAAAACAAAATAGTACAGAGAAAAACTACGAAAGAAGCAAAAATAAAGAGAGAGATAAAGTGAGAGGAAAATATAAAAGAAGGGATTAATTGAATTGAAGGGATTTTGGGGATTTCTCTATTACCAAGATTATACATATATTTCTTTATTTAATTCGTTGATATTTAACTTGTTCGGCTCTTCATTGGGTCTTTTGCTTTTGTGTAACGTTTGTCTCTACTTTTTTGTCACTATCTTTTGTTTTGTTCCACTAGTGGAAATTTTTAGCTTAATGTGCTTTTTTCTTGTTGTTATTAAGATACAAAGTTTGTCTTCCTAAAGAAAGGAATTATAAGATATTTCTCTCTCCCTGTTTTGTATTATTTTTTTTAGTGTGTTGAAGTGAATCTTTTCTTAGTTTTGTTCTAATATTATATATGTCAGTGTATATATATATACGTGGCAAAATAATAAACATTGTATAAATAAATACAATATTTTACTCACAAAATAATGCAAAACCAGAAGTGTTATATTCAAATTGAAAAAAGACAAATATGGAAAACAATAGAGAAATTAATAAATCTCTATACTATAGAGTTGACCATTTTAATTCTCAGTTAAGGCAAAAAGATTCCATTTTAGGCCTTTAATTTTTTTTATCATTTTACCAAATTCACCTGAGAAAATTTGATAAGCCCACTGGCCCAGAGCGAGAGAAAAACCCATTAGTAACCACGTCATCTATCCAACGCACTAGTCAACCAATAAAAATTGACTATAAGGATCTCCACGTCAGCCCTCTATTACAAAAATTCGAAAATTGGAATATCAAATAACCGTCTTTTTTAATAATTAAAAAGCACATCAAAAATGAAAAAAAAAAAACCGCTATAACATGACGGACACTATATAAGTGAAATCTCATATACGTTGTACCCATTATAACTCTCGCAAACAAAAGAAACTGTCGCAAGTTATTGACGGTTATCATCATCATCCTCTCGAAGAAATTAATGGCTCGTACGAAGCAAACTGCGAGGAAATCTACTGGTGGAAAAGGTCCAAGGAAAGAACTCGCTACCAAGGTTTTTTATCTTAACTTCTTCTAATTTTTTTGTATCAGTCAGATTAAGATTCACGAATTACGTTGTTGCATGAGTCATTTGTATAATGGGTTTCTAAAGTTTACGATTCTGTTTTTCAGGCGGCGAGGAAAACTGTTAGAAGACCGTACCGCGGTGGTGTCAAGAGGGCTCACCGTTTCCGTCCTGGAACCGTCGCTCTTCGGTCAGATTCTCTTTTCTCTTTCTCTTGTTTTATTGGAATAATCATTTCTTTCTATGTTTTAAAATGGTTGTTGATGTCGAGGACAACAGTGAGATTCGCAAATACCAGAAGAGTACCGACTTGCTAATCCGTAAATTGCCTTTCCAACGTCTTGTTCGTGAAATCGCTCAAGATCATAAGGTTTATTCTAACTTCTTCTCAATCAACTTCGTTTAATAGTTTTTGTGATTCGTGTGATTTCGATCTCATTTGTTGTTGTGATTAGTGGATTTCGTTTGGAGAAATATATGAACTGGTTTCTATTTTACGCAGGTGGATTTAAGGTTCCAAAGCCATGCGGTACTCGCACTTCAAGAGGCAGCCGAAGCATACTTGGTGGGTTTGTTCGAAGACACGAATCTGTGTGCGATCCACGCCAAAAGGGTTACGATCATGCCCAGGGACATTCAGTTGGCCAGACGCATCCGTGGGGAACGTGCTTGAATCATCTTGATGATTATGTGAATTGTATTTTAAGTATTTTAAGTGTTGTTTTCGTTTTGTTCTCTGTGGGGTGAGATAGAATCATGTATATAGGTTTCTGATTCGTACTCTGATAAAACCCGTTGGTGTGTATCTTTCTTTCTGGTTGATTCATTAGGATCTTTCTTTGTGTCTTGTTTTTTGCTAAGAAATCTTTGTGTCTTGTTTGTAAAATAATCTGTTTCGTGAAAGACAAGTAAATATAGTATTACGTATATTCCAATATTTGTTTCACGCGTTCATTTTATTTTAAAGTGGAAACACTTGACCAAATGTGGTCAATGAAATAATTACATTCAACTATATAGAAAAAATGTTTACCATAAATATATATTCGGAATGCCGAGTTAAAAATTTAATGACTGTAAACAGTGTCAAAAAGGACATGCGTTTAAATATTTATTATGTTAACCAAATTATTCAATTTCTTACATTTATAACAATTTCGTTAACTTCTTAACTTCATACTGTAGACAATTCGATTGAAAAACAAAGTCCATTACGCTTATTATTTTAATTGTGTTGTTAACAAACCCAACTATTTTACTTTATATTGTTATTTTGTCTCCAACTTCATAATAGTTAGCATCATCTTCTTTTGTTTGTCAAATCAATTTTCTCTAATTGCTGATCTATCAGGGGATGGATCATATATCTAGCTAACGAAATAGTGATATTTGCGTGTGCAACCTTTGGTTAGATTTTTTTGTAGTTTCTTCACATTAATCCTCCAAAATGATTTTTTCACCAAAGTAATAAGAAAAACGTAATAAATTATTCTATATAAAATAGTTGCATGATAAGTATTATTTTAATAGACTTGAAAAGCTTTCAATATATAATAAACATCTGCAGTTCACAAGATTATAATTTGTAAATAGTTATTCTTAGATTGAACATAGTATAAAACTTTTTTTAAAAATATATAACATATATAGTACTCCTTAATACCATCAGATCTGGAGAAGAAAGAAACAAATATCATTCGACTCTTGTAAACTTTTACAAATTTGATCACCTTCATTAGAATCCAAGTTGACACTAAAGAGTCAATTAGCTAACCTCTTTATATAATCATGCATGCAGTGCCAAATCGCTTTCTATCCTATGTCATACTTTGTTGTTGTACATATATAATCAATTAAGAACCTGCTTTCTTTAGTTAATTCATGACATAAAATGTAATCAAAAACATAATTATTTTTTTCGTTAGTCTTACTTCCTTCGTTGGTCCCCTTCATGCATTAGCGCATTTTCTTAATACAACAAATTATCAATGATCAACCGCATAGAAAAAGAGTATCCAATAATTTATTATCATCAAATTGAGAACAGATATTCTTATCACAATCATATACAATTGATTAGGTGCTCCAAAGAACCAATCCATTCCATAAATATAACACAAACACACAAAAATAAAGATATAAAATAAAGAGTCAATGAATCATTGTAACCTTACCCAAACACCTTCACTTGGTATGTTTTGATTCACCACAAAGATCATATAATAACCAGGCCATGCAATATTCGCCGACTTTGGAGTCCTCACTTGAACCTCATACGTCGGCGATTTGCCTTTCCTGGTAAGCTTAACATTGTCCAAAACCAAAACCCTCTGATTCATCGCGAAGCTATGCGTCGTGAACGTCGGAAACACCAAAGTCACTTTCACCGGAGTCGTAACTTCTCCCGTGACCGTAAACTTCAACTTCAGATTCATTCCATATTTAATCGTCGACTGAGGTTTAGGAGATATAATCTTGGGACGAAGATCCGAAAACTCCCGTTGTAGATAAACCGGAGAGAAAGCTTCTAAGCTCAGCTCCGTCGGAAAAAGCACTCCGGTGAAGTTATAAAAGGCATGAGGATTGCTTCCTCCGACTAGAACCCTACCGTCACGTAGAAGAATAGCCGCGGAGTGATACATTCTCGGGATTGTAGTCGGCCTTAGCGATTCAAACCTTGAGTTAACCGGATTCTCAGGATGGTATAGGTCCGGTGCCAAAACCGGTTCACGACCAAGCTCCCATGCAGCAGTACCAAAAGATCCACCGTTGATAATCAAAACATCTCCGTTTGGCAAAAGAATCATATCTCCCATAACTCTAGCATGTGGCATATTCTCCACCGTCCATTGAGGATTCGCATCGTTAATCTTGATCCTTGCACACGTGTCAAGCGCTTCAACGAAAGTTTTCTTTCTAAAAGCTAGGTTGTATGATCCTTTCGGTGCACCTCCACACACCAGAACCTCCGTCTCGATTTGATCCGCTTCAAGATTCTTTAACGGTAATAACACGGCCGAGCCAGTGCTCGGATAGTTTCTCGGATCACCACCGGGAATCGCCGGAAAAGTTTTCACCACCGTGTTCTTAACATAGTCGAGTAATATCGCTTTGTTATTAGCGAATATAAATAAATTCCCATCGGTATTCATAAAAACAAAAGGATAAAGATTATTCTCTTGTCCTTGATCATGAGTCTCGGCCAAAAACGGTAACGCGACTACGTTAGGGTTTGTCGTTTTGGGGAAGAACTCGTAATTGAATTGAGCTTGACCTCCGATGACGATTTGTTTACCGTCGGGAAGAATATGGTTGGAAGCATACCATCTTCTCTTCGTTAAGCCGTTGTTAATTTCTACCCAATCACATTGATTGTTGTCACAAGGAGAGAATGTTCTCGCCTTTAGTTCCCCATCTCGGTCTCCACCGGTTTGGACAAGAACACCGTCCGGTCTAACCGAACCGGATGAGCACCATGTGTTGGATTGTACCGTTAGGGGCCTGACGGTGTTCATTGCGACGTCGTATTCGATCGAGTGAGCTGTGCAGTCGCGCTTGGAAACGATGTCGTTTGGATTGTCACGGCAGTTTCCGTTAGGTAGAGAGATGTTCGATGGTCCGAAGTTGGTTCGGTCGTACATTACGACACGGTCGTTATGGAGAAGTTGCATATGCATCGCCGAGATTCCGACGTTGGGGGCGATGTATTTCCATAATCCTCGGGCGGCGGATGACACGTGGTATGTTAGGAGGAGTTGGATTGAGGTTAGGAAGAGAGCATAGAATATGAATGTGGCTCGTGCTGCCATTTTTTTCTTTTAGATATCTTATTTGATGTTTTGTGGTATGTGATGAGAATTGGACTGTGACCTGTGTTGTTTATATAGTGGTCAATGCCGATCAGCCGATGGGACATTCATTAGTATACGTTACGATATTCTAATAATGTAAAATTATAATAATATGATTGTTAGTTCTGTTAATATTTCAAAAGAGATATATAATCAAGGTCTCGAGTGTATAATAAGCTTTAATATGATTCAATTTTCTTACTTTTTCCTCTAAACTCTTATTTCAATGACCGTCCAGTACCTTAGACGTTTGAGAGAGTCAACTTTGAGTTTAAAACGATTTCAAACATTATGGATCTGTACAATATAACCAATAAAAACTCTTAAGTGAGACGTCACAATCTTTGTTCTTTTTCTTCTTCTTTTTTTCTTTAATTGAGCTAGTATATCATATTTATCCTCTGTTTCTCTCTAAAGTTGTTCTGCGGCGACTAAATGTTCTATATAATAATTTATGAAGCAATTGAAGTTTCTTTGTCTGATTTTAGATTCAAAGCGAAGTTTATCTTCACTGTATATGTTTTGATGTTTGAGTATTCACATTTATGAAGATAAATATATATGATCCAATATTTCATAACTCTCTTTAAAAACAAATAGTATACTTTTTTAAGTATGATTGTATTCAAATAATAATATCGTACTATTACAGATATACAGAAATCAGAATATGATTCGTCGTCGTAGGAAACACATTATATTATTGGATTTACATTATTATTATAAAAAAGAAAGAGGAACTTAATCTATAAACATCGATTATTTGAGATTAATTAGTTTGGGAGACTGCAAGGACGAATTAATGATGGAGATGTTGTGTTAACATCAAACATGCATGCAAACTATATATTATACAAGTCACAAGAGTTCTTTACGTTTTAGTTCACCCAGGGCTATTTCTTCTGGTTCTTTGCATGCTTAATTATTGTGGTCCTCACAAGTTTTCTACTAATAAATAACAAACAAGTATATAAATTAACATACAAACGGATGTTAGTTTTTAGAAAAACATTCATGCACATAAAATTGTACTATTCATTCCATATGTGTAATTCCAGTTATATATATGTATTACTTTTTGGTATATGGGGAAAAATGTAGAAAAATACCTTAAAATGCCACACTATTAAATTTTTGTTCCAAAAGTTTTATCACCACTTTATTTTTCTAATAATACCACAACTTTTTGGTATAAAATATTTGTTCAACCAGAATAAAATATAAATAGTTTAAAATATTATATTTGGGTTCTCTATTTTCAATTTAGGTTTTATATTTCCACCACTTAAAAGAGATTTTGATTCATTTTAATATTGAATTTGTAGTAATATTAAAAAAAAAAAAAACTAGTGATAGTATTTTTGGAACAAAAACTTAAAAATGTGATCTTTTAAGAATTGCCCCAAAATGTATTAGGTTAATTATGTTGCACAAGTTTATAACAAAACTCGAGTTTTCTATGGGTTGGTGAAAATTTTCAGTTGATAGATTGTCGTTTTTATGTGGTTCCTGTCACCGATTACTAGCAATTTGTGGACTCTAATTATAACCAAACTAAATTACTTAATACTTTCAGCTTTCCATATTTTCAAATGAGTGGTCTTAAATTGACGTTGTTAGATCCTAAATGACTAAGTAAAATCTCAACTAGTAAACCGACATGAGTTTTGGATTAATCATATTCCTATCATTCTAATCCAACAGATCGATCGCACTACAAGAAAACAGAGGATTTGGAGTATTTGGATTTAATCTTATCATCTACATGGGAAGAAATACTAGCTAGTCGTTGTCATTATGTTTAGTTATATATAAAAATGCGTAGCATATGAAACAATACCTGTTATAGGATTAGTAAATTCCACAAGTTTCATCATGTATCAATGATAAAAAAAAAAAATCATCATATCTCGATATATACACTAAAATTCATACAATAAATTTTTGTTTCATATAATTTTTAAATTTGACATTTAATATTGCTTTAATTTATACTGCAAAATTAATCTTTATTTTCCAAAACAAAAGTTACTATATATATTATTAAAATTTCACAAGAAAAGTTAAAATAGAATTGATATCAGATATAACGGACACAAAAAAAAAACCATTTGTTGATTTATTTTGAATTAGAAATCCATAAAAAATTAACAATTGCGTATGGATTTCCATTATTATTCAGATTGTGCAGATATATGGGATCCATTTCTTTAAACTCTTTTCTTTTCTTTTTTTGGTAAAAGGTGAAGTCTTTAAACTCTTTTCTATTTTGCTCTGTTGTCAACGTCTTAGTTTGTAGTATGATTGGATTCAAATCATTTTAAACATATATATATGAACCATCATTATGATTGGATTCAAATCATTTTACAACAGATATATGAACCATCGTCGAATGAACATTTTTATATTATTGGATTATACATTATCCTCGAGGGACTATATATATATATATATATATATATATATATGTAATTATATATCGATGATCTGAGATTAATTAGTTCGGTAGACTGCAAGAACGAATTAATGATGGCGATGCTGTGTTAACATCAAACATGCAACTATATATTATACAAGTCAAAGTCCCTTACGTTTTTGACCTCTCAGGAGGAGCTATATCTCCTGGTTCGTTGCATGTTAATTATTTTGGTCGTCCCAAGTTTTCTAATAAATAACATATATAAACAAACGCATGTAAATTTTTAAAGGAACGCAAAACATTCATGCAAAAAAAAAAAAAACATTCATGCATATAAAACAGTATACTACTGTGTTTGTTCCAACGATGCAAAGTTAAAACATGTAAAGACAGTATATAGTCTCCTTTGTTTAATTTCACTTATATGTATAAAATATAAATGAACTTTTTTGATATTTGAAAAATGTCCATCTATTTTATACAATTATACAACTGCATTCATTACATATATATCTTTTCAATTTCCAAATCTAAGAGCATCCTCAACGGTGAGACTCTCAAAAAGTGTGTTTGATTAATAAAATACAATATTTTTATTATAATTTTTTTATATCATTAAATTTAAAGTAAGTAATTAAATTCCACCAAAAAAACTGGTAAGTGAAGTCTTTACAAAATATGGATGCGGCTCTTAAACAAGATTTTTCAGAATCAATTCTCTCACAAATGTTTCTCTTTCCTTCTTTTTTAATTTTATTTCATTATTTTATTTGTTAAAATTTGGGAGAGAACTAGGGACAGAACTATGTACATTCATTCGCATGTTGAGTCATTTTATTTGCACTATTATTGGCCATGCTTTTTTTCTTTCTCGCATATGTATTTTACATTTATAAATAAATATATTTTCGAATCACCAAATCTAATGATTGACCGTGACATTCCATTCCATTCATGAATGCGGTTAGTTGACTCTTTAATTTGTTTTTTTTTTTATGTTGCTAATGCTAATCATGTGCACCCTATTCTCGCGTTACCATATTATTCACAAACATAATGTTAATCGGTTATTATTAGATTTTGTTTTAGGAAGTCAAAAAAAGAAAAAAGATTTTGTTTGTAAGCTGTTGATTTTATAACAATTTCCCACCACCTTATAAGTTTCGCTGACTTCTGATTATTAAACCTATCCGAAACAATAATTTCTAGAAAAATGTTAATCTACTTTTAAAACATGTCTTATTAAGAGGATATGTCAATATCCACTGTATCTAAGTTATATCTGCCGAGGGCCTAATATGGTTAACGTCGCTCGACCCATCTCGCATACCAGTGTCATCCAGGTATAGACTACTACATGATGATTAAAATTTCAATTCATGTTGGCCGGATTAAGCATTCATAAAGGTCATGGGACAAAGCTTCGAAACAGAACCATTGCATATATATCGTAGAATATAACAAAGTATAAGGTACAGAACAATATTCCTTTTTTTTTTTTGATAAAATACAGAACAATGTTATAATAAGACAGCAAACCCTATACCGGTTACTATAAACAGGCAAAGCAAACACTAAATAATGCGCTATCTTGCAACTTTTGTTCCTACAAATGTAATCATTAACAATTACGTACAATACCAATAAAGTTTTACATTGTGCTCTTCTACTCTCTTAACTCGTCTTGCAACCTTTCCTTCCCACAAATGTAGACTTCCACACGTTAACACATATCATATTGAATTTTAAAAGAAGAAGCTAATAGTAATTCCAAGAATAAAAAGTAAATCGATCAAAAGAAACTGCTTTCCAATGTGTTACTCCCTCTGTTCCTAAAACAATGATGTTTTAGTTTTACACACAAATTAAGAAAAAGTAATTTTTATATTTTTTAATTATTATTTTGTTAGTATAATAATATTAGTTTTACTTCCCTCCTTCTACTATTGGTCACAAACAAAAATAATAATGATGTTTTTACAAAACATCAATCTTGATGGAACAAGTAAAAAACCCAAAACATCAAATAACTAAGAACAGAGAGAGTATTATTGAAATAGGTGTTTACCCAAAAAAATTTAATTAAGAAATTTGATGTTGCCAAAGTTCTTTCCGACGAGGCCATGGTTGCATGTGTAGTTAAAAATAAAATAATTTGATATGTAACTGAGTCATTTGGAAAACAATCCATAGCATCAACAAATACAAGAATTTCACCTAGTGCCTTAAATTAATTTCATCGAGCCAAATACAAAGAACCATGTCACACTGACTAAACCATTTCAGTCTAATTTGGTCCGGTTCGGTTGAGATGGGTTTAGCTAATTTTAAGTCCGGTTTAGATTCACGCGCCGACTCATGGCCGGGCAAATTACTAATCAATCAAAAATCATATCATTGCCATCATCATCAGATCAGATTGGTTTCTCCCTTTTCTCTCTCAAATCTTCAATTGTCTCTTCACCGATCAGATCTCAACGACGACGAGTCATGGCTTCAAGTTTCAGCGGCGATGAAACTGCTCCTTTCTTCGGATTCCTTGGCGCTGCCGCCGCTCTCGTTTTCTCCTGTAACATCAGATTCCCCCATTCCCCCGATCTCCTTTCTCCGATTTGATTTTGATCCAAATCTGATCCGATCCGATCGGATTTTGTTTCAGGTATGGGAGCAGCGTACGGGACAGCGAAGAGCGGGGTTGGTGTAGCGTCGATGGGTGTGATGAGACCAGAGCTTGTGATGAAATCGATTGTTCCGGTTGTTATGGCTGGAGTTTTAGGTATTTATGGTTTGATCATTGCTGTTATCATCAGTACCGGAATTAACCCTAAGGCCAAGTCTTACTATCTATTCGATGGCTATGCTCATCTCTCTTCCGGTCTTGCTTGTGGTCTCGCTGGTCTCTCCGCCGGTATGGCTATTGGAATTGTCGGCGATGCCGGTGTTAGGTAAATTCTCGTTTAACTGTCTCTGTTTGCTTCCATGAGGCTAATTCAATTGTTCGAAGATGTTGAAACTTTTCAGAAAAGGCTCTGTTAAAAATCGTTTCTTTGATTCAAAATGTTATTGATCCTGTTGATTGATTCTAAATCACGAGTGCTTTATGTGTGTTCTTGATTTGCCATGTTAAAGTCTCTTGCTTTGGTGTTAGTTGTTGTTAAGAGCTGAAATGATTGAATCTTTTTTTTTACTTTATGTTGTATGTGAGATTAAGGATATATGATTGTGGCAGCTCCTGATATTGTTGCGAAATGTTTGTATCGAACCTTGAGTTTTAGAGAGAGATGTTTGTATTTGTAATCTGGTGTGTTTTTTTTTTGTGTTGCAGAGCGAATGCACAACAACCCAAGTTGTTTGTGGGAATGATTCTGATTCTCATCTTTGCTGAAGCACTTGCCCTGTACGGTCTCATTGTTGGTATCATCCTTTCTTCTCGAGCTGGTCAGTCTAGAGCCGAGTGAAATCCAGAGTCTCTCTCTCATATGGGCTATATCCTTGTAATGTTTTGGTATATTTTACTTCCAGTTTTTTTCTTTTGTGGTATTGTGAGTTTTTGAGTTTCTCATGAAAACAAGCAACATGGGTGAAAATTATTTGACTTTTGTTTCAAAACCATTTCTCTTTTTCATTTGCACACTATATATGGATACATTAATAAGTAATAAAATATGACGATTCAACGATTTGAATAGTGTATTGTTGAATCATGATTTTGGATCTATGGTAAAAAGATTTGAATAGTGTATCTGACCTTACGATTATTATTAACAAACTTCTCTCGTCAACCAGAACATTATTTGGTTTAGAGTTTGGAAAACATTTGCGAGTTCCCTCCATGAAGACAAAAACATAGATCCAAGGTAGTAGCTTAAACAAAACAATGAAAGGTGAAACAAAAGCCTCATATAGATCACTAAGGAGCTTCAGTTTTGAAAGAGATGCAATTGGATTCCTTACGCTGAAACAACGGCTTGTTGTTTAGCTTCGCTTTCTTGCAAGCTCTCATAGTATTTAACAAGAACATTCCATCCACTCGGACACATAAACCCATCTGGAGGATTCTCCCCTGTTCTTGCATAAGTTCGCATCTGTAAGCAAAACAAGAAAACCGAAAAGAAAAAAAAACTCAGGTGTAATCGCACATAAGCAAAATCTTGAAACTTGGCGGCCTTCAATAAGAATCTTAAGTCTCAAAGCTGTCTCTTACCTTTGTTCCAGAAATGAAAAGAAACTCTTTTGCACGAGAGGGATCGAAAAACGCCATTTTCTTCTCGATTGTATCGTAAGCTGCAACCTGAAAGATACAAATCACAGATAAAAAAAAAACATGATGGGGAATTGAAGCAGAGTATTCTGATAATCTAAGAGACTTTGGTTTTGCAGTCAGAAACTCAGAATTGATTTTGTGTTACCCTAAATGGAAGAATATTTAGTTTCTCAAGTCCAGGGGCCATGTTTAAGACTTTCTTTCCATGATCAGGATCATATAGATCTCTCTTCTCAGTAGGGTGGCCCATTCCTGCAGGATCACGACCTACAATGTAGAAATTAGCACCAGCGTTAATCCTTGCCTTGGCGTGCCATTGAACTTCAGTTGGACCAGCATAGTGCATCGGTGATGGAAATATCGAGACAATAGTAGTCTTCGGGTCAAGAACTCCGTCTTCTAGAACCTACACATCATAAGCAAATAAAATCATAATCTATCAATACCACAAATTCTTTATGAGTAAAACAAACTCTCAAAGAGCAGCCAATATGCACCTTGCTATGTTGTTCCATTCTAACATCAAGAGGAACATCATCAGCTTTTGTGAAACCTCCTAAAGGATGAAGCAAGAGAATAGGATTCTTGTAACCCATATCCAAAAGCCTTTTCCTGGTATCATTCATCAACAGAGCATGTCCATTGTGCACCGGATTCCTTAACTGAAAGGCAAAAACAGCATCCGCTTGACGATTATCGAACTCTTCCCTAAGCTGTTTAGGAGATAGCCTGTAATGATCAAGCCCATCATTATACTTAATCGGCTTAAAAACCTCTAAATCACCACCAATCAACCAGTTTCCAGATGGACTAATATATTCTTCCACATAAGGCAATCCTGGAGAAGTAGTTCCCCAAGTCCGAGCTATCCTCTCTTCCTTGTTGTGTTTGTATATCTCCACACTGCAATTCACAAACAAAGATTCACAAAAACAGTCAATTACTTCAAATATCAAGGTTACAAATCAACAAAGCCAGAAAGTTTCATATACCTTCGAAGAGAACCAATGATATCTCCTTGAGGGCTAACAAGAGCAACATTCTTGGATGATCCGATTTGTTCCTTAGTCTCTTCATCAATAGCAAGAACAATAGGAAGAGACATATTCACAAAAGTCCCATTTTTTAATCTAAGAGAATTAAAATGCAAACTTTGTAGATACTCATCTTCTCTCATGAACCCTTTTAAAGGACTAGCCCAGCCTTCACTAATCACATGAACCCACTCAAGATCAATCTTCGTCAGCTTCACTTTCGGCATCGTCTCTGATTCAGCTCTCTTCGCTCCGATTTCAGATTCCGGTACAATCAATTCCACCAATTCACCACCGTCGGGATCAATCAATGAGCTCTTAACAGTCATTTTCGAAACAGATTGCATTATTGGGTTTCGTTTATAGACCAAATTGAGAAAAGGGTTTTGATTGAAAGAAGAAACGAAGGAGATTTGATTGGTGAAAGAGGACGGTTTTGAATTTCTAGGTTGGAAGAGAGTGAGGTGAGAGACGTAGGAGGAGGATCTGATCAGAAGAGACATGGATATTGGTGAAGAAGATAGCTACTTTGGGGAAAAAGCGAGAGAAGTGGAGAGTAGAGAGTGAACAGTGAAGGTGAGATTTGGACGAACATGTTGGAGGAAGAAGAAGAAGATCCACACGTTATTCCACTTTTGGCTCCTTTGCTTTTTCTAGTTGCAGGAGTGGATGTGATTAACTGATTATTGCCTTTTGTGTGAAATGTCTTTTTCACCCTTTATTTTTCTGAAAGCTTTGGGCCTTTCGGGACCATTTGTTTTTATTATATTGGGCTTATGTTATTATTTCTCATGAAAGCCCTTGAGGTTTAATCAATTTATTTTTGTTTAGTTTGATTTTAACCAGATTGAACAATATAATATTGGTATTTGGTAGTGTTTTTTAGCCTTTTAGGATTGGAACTCTAAATCTAACATTTAGAAAACAATTATAACCGTAAATAGAACACAAAATTTAGAGCGGTTGACCACCGTAAAAAGATTTACAATCGATTTGTTTAATTGCGAATCTATAACCAAATCGGGAGTTTATAAAAAGAATTTATTAAGTTCTACAACAACAACTTTGACACTAAAAATTTAGTGCCAACTAACATAAAACCTACCTTAAGGTTTTTAGAGCATCAAATAAGAATAAATTCCAACACTCTATATTTTTTTTTTGGTATCAACGTTAAGTAACACTCTAAATATATTTTGTCTCCAGCACATCTACATTTTACCAAACGTAAGGCGAAACATATACATTGAGCACGTTCATACATACATACATTTATAGAACGATCAAGCAAATAAGGGGTGTGTGTGTGTGTGATTCTAATTCATAAAAATCTCATTTAAAAAGATTCTAACGAGGAAGAAGTAGTAACCAAACTCGACAAAAGACCAACGACAAGAGCACTGTTATAGGTGCTTGGCTCATTTTGCATAGAATTGTTCCTTGCGTCTATAAACGTGTCGTTCAAAAAAGGTCCACCAACTAGTGCACCATAAGCTACGTTCGGATTTTGTTCATCCGAGTCAAGCCACTTAAACCCATCTTTGCATCCTGTGTTTGCATCGGCTGGTATTGAAGCTCCTCTATGATGCACAAATTCTGGATATTTTTCACCATATCCCACCAAATAACTCATTTTCTCCGGATTTTTCCCTAACATGTAATCAGCCTGCACATTGTATATATAGAATTATTATACGTTTAATTAAGAGGAATTATAAGAAACCAAATTAATATGTATATGGACCTGAGATCTGGCGAATTTTCTGAGATCTGAAGGTTTAAAGGATTGGTCACTGCAAGATAGTTCCTTAATACCAGAGGTGAGCATATAGTCACTGTAGAGTGTAGCTAAAAATGCAGAGGACACAGGGTGTTGCAGTGCATTCCATTCACTTACCCATATTAGACCACCTATATATATATATATATAAACAAAATCAAACGAGATAATTAACAATGATACAGAGATTTCTATCATCAGTTAACCTGAGATGCAAGAAAAGTACCATCAGTTCTACTAGATGTAGCTGTTGGTGAGCTTGGTATAAGCCCACACATGACAGCTTCTGCTGTTTCTTTATAACCTTGAAGTCCTTGGCTTCCTGATAACCCTTTTTTGAAGAAGGTTAATCTTGATAATAGTATCTGCAAATGTATAAGTCACACTAAATGTTATAATCAAACAAACATGAATCATGATTAGTAAAGAAGTGTCTTGTTCTTTATACATGTGTTCCTGGAAGCTTGTTGTCCCAACTAAACCAAGATGGACTTCCAAAATTACCAAACTCTTCACCGTTTTCCGATACAAAGTCAAGATATGTTTTATCCTCTGTTGCATGGTACAACCATGAAGCTGCCCAAAGAAGCTCATCTCCATATCCAGTTGAGTTATAATAAGGCTGAACCTCGGGTATATTAGCACTGTAAGAACCTTTGTTATTATCCGCAAAATCGAACAACTGCTTTGCATGTTTCAGAAGCGTGCTTGAATACTTGGTATCACTTTCTTTGAATACTAAAGATGCAGCAGCCATAGCTGCTGCTGTCTCTGCAGCAACCTCAGTCCCTGGAGTCTCTGTATCAATCTTAGTAAGAGTTCTCTTCCTTGTCATTGTTTCTGGCCTATCCCAACATTTATGATCCGTCACCGGATCTCCCACCTATAATGTTAAAGTCAGTGATTTGACTTGAGACCTAATGAAAGATTTGTGATTTTTGATCACTACCGTGTACCTGAATATAGAGGACATTTGGAGAAGGATGAGCATTAATGAGGAAATCAGTAGTCCATTTGAGAGAGTCTTTAGCATGATCCAATAGGTTCACAGAAGCCATTTGATCACCGTACTCAAGAATAGACCATGAGAGAACTGTGGCAGTGAAAGCCATTGGGAAACCAAACTTCATGTGGTCTCCTGCATCGTATAAACCTTTCGAAAGGTCGATATTTGCTTCGCTTCCATCTTTAAGACCTGAATCTCCTCTCCATGATATCTTGTTGTTCTCCAGCTTACCAGCTGCACCAAAAACATGACTTACTTTGTGCCAAAAGCAGAAACAAATAATCAATGTGAATCAAGAAAATTCAAGAATCGTTTACATTTCTGGATATCGAAGAATTGCATAGCGATCTTGAGAGCATTAGCGTAATTTTTATCAATGGAGCCAGGATTATCATCGGAGTGGCTTGCTCTATGCCTGAATGTGAAAATGACCGCCAGAATTACAGCGACTAACACGATAATTCCGATGAACCAACTACAACAACAACATCTTGACCTTGGTTTCGCCACCATTTTGTTCGATAAACAAAAAAAAAAACAGAGGTGGATCGATCTGAAAATGTCAATGGAGATGCATTTAGCGATCGCAAAAGTTTTGCTAGATCTAAGGATTCGAAAATGACGACGATTCGAGAGAGGAAAGTAACAGATTTTGGCTAAATAAGGTAATTGTGAGGGCACCGACACTGATCAAACCAACGCGGGACGAGATCTGTTCTTTTATGTGTTTTCGTAATTACGGAAGTACCCTTGCCTGGAAAGGAAGCAATGTGGCGAGTACAAGGTCACAATTGGAAGTTGTGATGTTGTTTATTATTTTATCATTTTTTTGGTTAATACATATTCTTACCTGTAGAATTCATTGCGAATCAATTAGTCAACTTCAACAACCACGTCTGATTTTTATTTAATTGTTATGGGAAACAGATATATACTTCCTATAACTATACCAATATTCAGATTATAAACCAGTTCCTTGAATTGTGTATATGATATTGTTAAAAAAATAAAAAATTGTATTTGATTGTGATCAAAGATTCAATACGATAGTGATGTCAGAACGGAAAAAAAAAAAAAAAAAAACCCTACGGGCTAGGGATTTAATGGGCCAGATCACTTCATTTCGGCCCATTAGTGTAGTGATCGGAGAAGAAGCGGTAGTTTTTTTTTTTGCTTTTTTGGAAGATCCCAAGTTCACTTTTTGCTAACTAATTTTGAATTACAAACTCGAACATAGCATTATAGTACAATTTGTTGATCCACATAGAGTTTATTGTTAGTTCTAGAGTGAGATTGGTTTCATGATAAATCGATAAAATTTATCACATGGTGATTATTGAGCTTACTTTAATTTGTTGATGCGAATCGTATGCGGCTCATACTCTTGGATAATAATGAACATGTACAGATGTTGATGATTGAGCTTATTTTTAACATGTAGACAAGAACGAAAGAAAAACCGAAGTAATATATATATTTTTTTTAAAGAAGTTGCATAGTATCACAAGTTAAACACCGAAGAGTTTCGTCTTCTCCTAAGAGAGAACTTTATACTCTTCTTCGAAAGCTTTCTAATCCGTAGTCATCTTATACTTCTCAGGTAAGGAAAGAGCTAGCTAAAATAAACCACGAAAATTAGTGAGAGGTTTTAATTTGTTAAAGAACCAAGAATCAAGAGCAAATTTACGTACATGGTGATGAGCTATATCTTATTGTTGAGCCTGGCGGCAGCATAACATTAACAACCACAATATTCAATCCTCCCACGTCACATCCACTAAGTTCCAGTGCCTTCTCTATTGTGGCTTCTCCCATAAGATTATATACAGCTAAACATACTATTCAAAGTAAACAAAAAGACTTACATGAAGAGATAACATATTGGACTTAAACTCATTGGTTACAAACTCCTTTAACTTATCCTTAAAGTTTCTGGAGAAAAATAAGTAACTATATCAATATCAATAAAATGTCAATACAAATTTTATGCTCGTTTAGGATAACTTTTCCAGAATATCCTATAATACAACTTTTGTATTGACTATTTATCAACATTGATATGTTAACTTTATATTTCGTCTCAAACTGCAAGGAAAAGATAAAGGAGTTTGTGACAAATGGATTTCCTGTAAGTCATTTTGTTTATTTTGAATATATGTTTAGCTGTATATAATCTGTTTTTGGTATCAAGCTGTTATAATCTTCACCCTACTTACTACATGTTTGATGATAGTGCAAAGCTTTTTATCTTGTTAGCAAAATATCATCGTCTATAATAATTCTTATTGGTTCATAAAAGAATATTAGAATTACAACCTCTAAAATTTTATGGTTTACTCCTATAATAAATTTGGTCTCTTCAATAATTGTTTGTGTTCAATAACTTATAACATACTCTACAAGTCTCCGAAAAAAATCAACTTACTTGTGTTCCGGAAGACTGAAGTCTAAGGATTCCACAGTTGCCCATCGAGGATCAACGAATTGTCCATCATACGGTGAAGCCTTAGCTAATACATTCCATCCTCCCGAATCACTTCCACTAAGTTCCAACCCAATATGAATGAAGGCATCTGTGAAACCAAAAGAAAACAACAAAAAAAGCACTGAACTTAACTTTGAGCTGGGAAAATTGGAGGAAGAAGCAAAAAAACTCTTGAGAATACCCTTTTCAAAGTCTCTTCAAACAAAAATATGTAAGATCTCTCCACAAGAAGCGAAATGTTTTGTCAACGCGAGCTTGAGATCATACTCATGAAGCGAAGTGTCATATCCCTCAAAGAAAATCCTGCTAAAGCTACTGTAATCAACATAGGTTAAAGAGTGAATTCAAAAAAAACCGTAAGGAGAAGAAGATTACTTTGACTGCGGATTCATCC